CCTGCTTCAAGTCCCCCGCCCGGCCTGCCCCACCATCGGTGTTTGGGCCTTCAGCCTCTCTGCCCCACCCTCTGAAACTCCGTCCCACAGTACCTTATCTCGCTCCCTCCCTTGTCTCCTTCAAGGCACGTCTCAAGACCCTCCTCTTCGACCGCACCTGTGTTCTCCCTACCCGCCCTCCTGCTCCCAATCCTCTGCTTAGGTCCAAATCTCTGACTGTCCAGCGCCTTGGGACATCCTCCCAACCTGAAAGGCGCTATACAAATAAATTGTTGTTGTTGTTGATTGCTTAGGTGAGGAATGCTCCACAATGTCAGACTCTGAAATGTAATGGACATCAGCCACAGTGGAAGTGTTAGGTACCAGAGGAGAAGTTAGAGGTGACAATGTGAACGTCCCAGATGCACTAAGCCGATCAAAGAGAGAGCCAACCTGCTCCTTCAACTGCATCTACCAAAATAAATTATGTTCTGCAATGTCGTATCACCTGGTGAAACAAAACACAGGCACCACTGACTGCCAAGAGATCTGAGGCACTTCCATGAACAACACTTGTTATGAGCTGGAGCGTTAAAGAGCCATTGGTGGGTTGGGTCTATCACATGTGCATGATTATACAGTTAACCGATCCAGTCATTGGTTCTTGATTAATTCAGGGCAGTTGTGAAACTCTATACACATGGGAGCTTTAACGTCCACCTGAACTGGCAGACTAGGCCATGATTTAATGTCTCATTCGAAGGACTGCACCTCCAACAATACAGCACACCCCCAACACTGCATAGACTAAATGAGTTCGAAGTTTTGACATGCAGCTTCAAACCCTGACCATTCATCCCAAACGTGAGCAAAACTGGGGGTGGGCAATGACGTGAAAGCTAGATTGAGCTTGAAGCATGGGGCAGATTTCAGAGCAAACTGGGCAGGGTGAGAAGTTCACTCTGTCTACTGTAACTGCAATCACTTTTATTCTAATCACCATCCTCACTTCAATGAGCACAAACAACAATCTGTAACTGTGAAAAGTTGCATACCAACAGGCTCACCAGTGAATTTCTGTGGCATCTGGTCTGGCCTCTCGCCCACGCCGTGTTATTAATAATTTCACACACAAACTTCTTTGTTGTCATGGCAGGGTGTTATTTCTTATTAATACATTACAGTGTTTGTTGCAGAGTCGAGCAACATACAGATTTAAAAGTGTGTCAAAAAGATTAGTGAAAATTGCGATCCAAGATGTGTTAATTATCACCAGTGGGGACTGGGGACTGTTATAATAATAATCCTTGCATTTGATATAGCACCTTATCAAGTCATTGAGACGTCTCAAAGCGCTTCACAGAATATATTGTAAAGTGAAATGACTGTGTATTTTGTAGGTGAAACTCGGCAGCCAATTGCACACAGTGGTGTCCCACAAACAATTGTGGATTAAATGACCAATTTTTTTTGAGGGATTATTACTTCCGGATAGCAATCTACCAATCAACTACCAACCGGAGGAAACTTGCCCAAGGTTTCGCCCCGCCCAGGAATTGAACCTGGGTCCTCTCACTTGTGAGGCGAGTGCTCTAACCAGTACGCTATGGGACTCCATTGGTTAACTCTTAAATGTTACCAACTTGGTCTTCTCCGTTCACTGGCATTATTAAACATTCTGCAGTATTTGCTTTTTGGCGAGAAGGAAAATACTAAAGAAGATGGAAAGGAAGTTGGTTGAGAGCTGGAGGGAGGAAGGGAGGGAGGGAGGGGTGGTGGTAGCGCAAATCAGACAGGGAAGGGTTGTCCAATTGGAAATCCGTGGGCCACATCTGGCCCGGGGGATGATTCCATCTGTCTCGCGAACTATTCCCAATTTTGTTGTCTGACTGGCAAATACAGCAACGTGCAGGCCCCGAGTCAAACAGAAGACTGTCACCAGGGGCTCTGGCCCTGCCAGAGAATGGGTCTGGACAATCAGAATAAAACATTACTAAATATGGCCCGTGGACATTTCTCAAATGCGGCATCCAGCCCTCAGCAGACCACCCTGAGATGGGTTGAAGGAAGAAAAGAGGGGAGTTCCTGGGTATATGATCAATAAACCAGTGAACTGCACAAGGATAGAGAGATGGGGGAGGGGAGCACATAACTTTCAAATTCGCCAGGAAAGGTTAATTGACAAAAATTGTTTTTCACGTGTCTACTTCAGACAAGGAGTGACAGAATTTCTTATTAATGCTTGGTCTGACTCCCCCCACCCATGTGGAGACCCATGTTTAAGAGTATCCAAACCAGAGAGAGACATTATGCATATGTTAATATACAACACCGTTATATTATATGATTGGCAGGATGGTGGCAATGCTCTCAGTTTCGTGCTGAGCTGCGGTGCTCACTAGGAAGTTTACAGTGGCTGGTGCTTCCTATGCATCCAGTGAGGGCTCATTCCAACACAATCCAGCTGAACCGACTTCAAGGTGACATGTTTAGTAATGAAATGTTGTTAATTGAGTCACCCCTCTGTGGAGGTTCAATAATCCTGTTCCTGAGTTGGGTATGTCCGTGGTACTGCAGGATACTGCTGATGATAACACAGCCAGCCTGACTCATGAGACAACTTAGAGTTAGCAGACTTGAGCAGGGAATTTTCCCAATCGGTTCCTGTTAACCTTGCAAGCTGAAGCCCTAATGGGGGGGTTCTAGTTGGACAAGCAATGGGAAGTGCTCAGATAGTGCTCTCAATGGCAAGCTATGCAGACTTAGCTGGTTAAACTTATATAATATAATAATCAACTTATATCATCACAGAATGATATAGACAGGTCAGCATGGAGATATCAGCACATGAGGGAAACCTGCATTAAATATTTCCAAGTGAGAGGTAAGTGGCAAAGATTTTTTAAAAATAATTTTACAGCTCTTGTCAGTCACTGAATATCGATACTTACAGAATTCAGGACTGAAATTAATATTTCATTCCCTCACTCCATCCCCCCAACACGCACACACACAAAATCACACACACACAACACTCACAAAATCGTGATTCAACAGGATAATGAGCAGCAATTTTAACTATGGAGACTGACAGTGAACAAACACTGCAGGAATCTAGGAATAAGAGGCTCACCCAGAAGCCTTTGGTTATAATTTCCTATTAAGTATAACTATTTGCAGAGATACACCATTAGTAGACCTGCTGGCAAAATCCAAAATTGGTCACAGATCTTGACATACATTTTTTTCACATGAGAATCTTTTTGTGTTAAATATAATTACTATTGAATTACCTAGTAATTTACTGCTGGATATCCTGCCTAAAACAGTTCCCTGTAAAAATAGTTTTATTTAGCACCTGTTCACTTTCACTATGTCATTATGATCCAAAGGGCTTTTGTTAGTGCTTTGCACAGTTCAACACTGCACCGTTTGCACATGGGTGGTTTGCCTTACCATCCCTTACTAAAACATGACTGTTTCTGTCTTGTTCATTATTCACGAGGATGCTACCCCGCATGAAAGGTGCTATACAAATGCAAGTTGTTGTTGTGGAGCAGGAAACAGAGGCCACGAGAATACAAATTAATCCTGTAACCACCTTTGATGAATAGGTTTAATAAGCAGAAAGCTCGGAAACATTTGCACCTCAAACAAAACTGATAAACACACAACAGTGCAACAGCAATGAAACAGGTTCGAGAAAATTTGAGAAACTTGGAACTTTTAAGTCACTAGACTGAAAAAAAGCAAAATTTTGAAGTTATTAATTTTCTTTGTAGAATTTGTACATTTTCTTCTTGTAACACTGTTCAGCCTCAAGTGCTTCCCCATCCATCCTGACCGATGAAAATACTTCTCAATATCTAAGGTGTTCCCTCTTATTTCAGGTAGTAAGTTCAACCCTGTTAAGTGCCTCTCTAAACAAATGTTCATTTCTAACATGAGAGTCCTGGGGACCTGAAGTTACTGGAAGTGTAATAAACTGCTTGCTTCCAGACGACCTGAACTAAAAGTATCCGATTTCTGAGTCGTTGGGTCACCCTCAGTGTTATTTCTTGTGCACCACCCCGCTTGCACACTATATCCAGGAAGCACCATTAACGTCACTTCCTGCGAGTTGGTGTCACTTCACAAAGGAAGTGATATCAGTGGTGACTTAACAAGCTTGGGCTCAGCTATTAGGAAGTGCCAATTAGTGGAGACAGAGGAAGTGTCAGTTTTTATTATTGATTCATTCCCTGGAGTATCCCCCACCAAGAAATTGGCTCCGATGAGAGAGCCAAGGTCTTGACACCCAGCTGTCCTCCCAGGATTTTCCTGACTTCATCATGTGTACGACTGGCATAGAGAAGGATAGAACCTAATCTCACAAGCAAGCAGGAAGGTCAGGTTAGGCTAACCAGAATGATAGACCCTTTATCAGTGAGCAATATTAAATTCTACTTTCAATGGACAGAATTTAGCCAGAACATGTAGTGATTAACTATGAAAAGGTAGGCGTTTTCGTGTGCGCTTCAATAGTGGTAGTGGAGGGGGGTAATCTAGACCCAATATTCGATCTCTCCTCTGTGCGGAGCTCAATCGAAGTGAACTACCTGGACTCTTCAGGATCTGTAACTTGTGTCACTTCTGCATTGCCTGGCATTAACTCCCACCACGTAAATGTTTTCTCCCTGGAAATTCCTGTACGTCACATAGAGCATCATGGCTTTGATGAGACGATGGGTCAGCAATGTACAGGGGAATCAACAGAGAAAATACTGTCAGAGGTGCTTTTGCCAGCCATGCTGTAATAATGCAGATAACACCACTTTTTATATGCTAGTGTCCCTGTGGTCAGAGTCCCTGGTAGTGATCTGCTGAAGCACAACTCAATGAGTTTTAATCTGGACACAAGTGAAGTGTGCAAATAACTTTTTTGAAGAAAAAAAGGGATTCACTGAAGAACGCTGACCAAATTGGAGAGAATTCCCCTTATAATATTTAGGGTAAGGCAAATCAGTGGATTATATTCCCCATTAAAATATTACTTTTTTTAAAATCATTTTTGCAATAGTTGGATCTAATTTATACCATGCATTTTAAGAGCGCGTTTCAAAGACTAAGACTGGGTGGAATTTTGTGCCTCTGATAATGGCTTAAGCACTAAGAGTGAAATGGTTGAGACTCGTGTAACTGGCCACATTACTTTGCACATCTTGTTTGGAAATGCCACAAAGGGACTTTACCAGGGAACATGCTGCTCTAAACAATACAACAATAAGCTTAGATTTGGAGGAATGTAGAAGGAATGAATGAATAAGGAGGTAAATAATTACTAATAAATAATGATCAATTGCCAAGAAAACTGTCATTAGCTCATAGAATCAGCGATCATTTTGGCTTTTGCACATTCGGGGTGATTGTGATTGGTGATATCTACCACATCATACATCACATTTTTCACCCTAAAAAATTTGCTAAATGAAATGCAAATTACCATCATAAAACAGCGCAGGCTTCTTGACGTTACTCCAAGCCTTTGAAAAGTGAGAGGAATGTGAAGAATTAGGAATCATGAAAGCAGGTCGACATTTGCTGCACCCTTTTATAAGCAGCACCACATCCGCAACATCACAGTCGTAAAGGTGCTGATCTGTCGTGGTTACTGACCAGGACTCTTCCTATCCTGCAGCTCTTCCATCCAACCCCAAGACTTCCCAGAGGAAAGAGATACCTTTAAGGGCACCTGTGAGAAGTAAAACAAACCCACATCAATACGTGTCAGAAAGGAATCACTCAAATCAAGAAATATATTTCAGGTTAAAATGGAAGCATTGAGAGGAATCAGGCACATTGGATTACAATATAACGGGGTAAAATGTGTGGTTTTTAATACAAATATAATTAGTTTATAACTAATGCCAGTGTTAATTAGTGCTGCAAGTAAATATAATAATGATAGTAATCCTTACATTTTTATAGCACTGTTTCATGTATGGAGGACATCGCAAAGCACTGCACACGATGTATTATAAAAGAGCAATATATTCTATGTATTTTTGTAGGCAAACTTCCACCTTGCTTGACACCATTTGTTTTTAATATTGACCGAATTCTAACTTTTGTTTATTAGTTGAGTTCTGGGCTGGATCTTTTGAAAAGTGATGAACTTTACACTCTCTCAGTCCAGAATTGTTTGTCCCTCCTCTGGTCTCTTACCATTAATGACTAATTGATAATCACACCCAGATCTCTTTTCCTGGGTTCACTGTTTCTTCTTCTAATCCACATCACCTTACTTTATAACTACATTAAAATCCATCTGCCATTTCCAATTCATCAGCAGCACCACCCACTTCCTATCCGGTGGGCTACTCGTCCTTACCTCGGATTGACCAGAGGACCTCATAGCCTGCGCGGTGAAGAGGGGTGGGATCGGCCATCTTTGAAGTTAGCACAGAGCCTACATCAAGCAGCCCACCGAACAGGAAGTGGGCAGATGCTGCCGACAAATTGGGAGAGGGGCAAGAGGGAGCCTGGGGGTGCCACGGGCTGGGGATAGTGTGAGGATTGGCTGTGGCGAAAGGGCTCACTGAGGGATGTGGGGGAGTGAAAGGCAGCCATCGTTGACCCTGACATAGAGGCTACACCTGGTTTAAAGAGGACCAACCCTTTCACTGAGTTTTAGTCCACCCCCACCCAAGAATATTTTCAGCCGCTGCCTATGATGATGAAGCCATCTGAAATTTAATCCTGACAATCGTTCTTCAGTGGTTTAACTTTCAGTAAAATGTTGCAGCACTCTAGGTAAGATTGACATGGTAAATTCATTCTGTACATTGCATTCTCAATTTTTGAATGCTATCATGATACAGTACCACTTTAATGTCAAACCAGCCATAAATAATCATTGTTATTTTTATGGCTCAAATACTTCAGTTTGCATCAATGGATTGACTTGTGCAAAGAGAATTGAAACGATTTATTGCCAGACCACTGCCACTGAAAACATACATCAAACACACCAAATAAAATCATTTTGAAAATGTTATCCAGTGACACAGGGCTAACACTAATAATAGCCCAAACAGTAGCTTTCCTGATCTGTAACAAACCAATAATTGAGTGGGGAAGGAGAGGTGGGGACAGGGTCCACCTCTGGCTCAGTCAATGAAAACGTCAAAGGAAGTACAAAACTAACCCTGACTATTTCAGTCTGAGGAAGATTGGCTTCTTATGGTTTTTAACTATAACATAGTTCACCAATAAACTCTCAACAGTCAATGTTTTGTTAATACTGACCACTCTATGACGCTATTGTGAGTGAAGGGTGTTTTTAAATGCAAGTTGTTGTTATTATTAATGGAATATTGTAATTAGACTGAATTAGACTTTAGTTTTAGTGTTAACAATTGCAAAGTGTGACCGTACCTTCAGGTGCACTCCCAAGGCCTCCACGCACTGCAGTGATTCCATGGTGTTTTTTACAAGCTCTGTTTGTAAAAACAATGAGTTCATTATTAGTCTCAACAAAGCTAGTAAAGGCAAGTGGACAGAGGAGGAAAGGGAATAGCAGAGTGAGAGGCACAAAGAGAGGATTACGAGAGATGGAGGATCATGCGGTATAAACATATCATGTGGAGGCCTGTAGCTCAGTGGTTAAAGCACTCGTCTTACAAGCGAGAAACCTGGGTTCAATTCCAGTCAGGGTGAAACCTTGGGTAAGTTTCCTTACTCCACACGCCTAATAATAATCCCTCCAAAAAAAACAAAAAAACTAATAAATTGGTCATTTTTAATCCAGCAGTGCGACACTGCTGTGCGCAATTGGCTGCCGCATTTTGCCCACAAATATACGGTCAATTCACTTTACACATATTCTGTGAAGCGCTTTGAGACATCTAGAAGACATGAAAAGCACTGTATCAAATGGAAGGATTATTATTTATTTATTAAACACCGGCTCAGACTAGTTGGGCTTGTATGTAATTACAAACCACATTGTTTGGGCTCCTCTAATGCTCAGTGAAGAGCTATCCAACTCACTCCCTACACCCAGGCTTGTTCCTGTGTTAAAAGAAAATTGGTCCATTAGCAAGTCACAATGACATCACATCCTGCTTTGCACATTAAACAGGAGGTGATGTCAGTGGTGGGTATGCTTATATACCATGGAGCTAGTATATCTTGCTATAGTGATGGGATTTTGTGGATCCTAAACTCAGCATTACAATGAGGCTCCATGGTATTCATTGGAGAGTTATATAGATACCAGGAGGTTTTTTTTAATGCAGAGGGTAACCAATGATTAGAATAATTTGGCAGAAAGGGTGCTTGAGACCAGGACGCAGAATCCATTTGCAAAGCAGCTGATGTAGTGATGGGGAGATGGTAGGGTGGATGTTCTGGAGGATGAGACTGGATTGAAGGGCTTCTTACTCCAGATCAATCTTGTGAATTGTATTACAGTTTTGGTGCTTGTTCTAAGATGAAGATGTTTAATAGCACCATTTTCAGTAAATTCGCACGTTCTTCTTAAGTTTAGTCGAATCACATCAGTGAAACTTGCAGGGATAAGCAAACCTATTTCTCTTCTCTGGGACTTATCAAGATTTTCAGATGATCTACTGATTATAATGGAGTTTCCTTCAGCCCCAAGAGAACAGTATGTTATCACGAGAAATCTAATAATAAAGCCTGGAGTCACTGGGTTCCAGCATTCACAGTGTTTGGATATTCACTGGAGATTTGTCCACTGCTCGTTATTGGAGGGGGAGGTCAGAGTGAATGCTAGTACTGAAAAAAACTGTAGGCAGTTGAGGTAGGATGAATGGGAAGCATCCCATCACTAACAGCTTCTGCATTTACATTAATTATGCCATCAGTTTAATATTTGTGTGTGGGGGGGGGTCAACCAGCAAATAAGCACTATGGATGAATCCATAATTCCTCAAAGCTCGGAAAATAACCTATGGAACAGTGGTGTGGTTGTAAAAAAAAAACACTCCGGGTAAAGGAATTGCATTTTAATGTCGGGAGGACAAATGTTTACTTTTTTTAAAAAGTAAAAGTATTTCACCTACAAAATACACAGTCACCACAATTTAGAGTATACCCTGTGATGTGCTTTGAGACATTTCGACGATATGATGAGGTGCTACATCAAGTGCAAGGGCTATTACAACTATTATTATTAAATTTCAATTGACAAAAGTTCAGAAGTGATGTGCAGGAAAATGCTGATATCTTTTGTCAAGCTATAGACAACCTGCTATGATAAACTATTTTAACCATACACTTACCACTCTATGCTAGTACTGTAACAGAGGATGACATCAGCCTCAACCTAATTAGTGTCCGAGGAAGCCCCAGAAATTCATGTTCATTAAAACCTATTTGTAATTTATAGAAAATGAAAATGCAATGTTTAGCAAAAAAAATGTATTAGGCACAGGTTGGCAAGAACCAAGACTTGAGGACCCCAGAGTTGGGGTACTGCTGGAGTCTAATCAGCTAAACCCACATAGCTTGCCATTGATATTACTGTCTAGCAAGCTTTCCCACTGCTTGTCCAGCTAAACCCACCCTACCTGTTCGGGCTTTGACTTACACGTTAACAGGAGCTGAGTGGGATGATTCCCTGCCCCCAGTGACTGGTTGAAAATAAAAGTACAAAGTCTGCATTGGTAAATACTCGCTTTAATACTGGATAATACATCGTGATCTCCAAGACAACACTCTTTGTTTAATGAATTGATATGGAAAACATTATCAAGCTCATTCTTTACAAAGCTCATTTCATTACGCAGAGCTCTTCACAAAGTTCCCAAAGACACTGTTACAGAGAGAATTTGCTGGACTTTGTGTAGGAGCAGGTTTTTACATTATAGCAGCTTGACACTCTTATCATTGCAGGAGTTTGGAGCGATGAAAGAAAATTATATTTTATTAAGTGTCGATATAGTACTTACCAATAATAATAATAATCCTTGCATTTGTGAAAAGCGCTATATCAAATGCAAGGATTATTATTATATAGCGCTTTTCACATCTTCCAGACGTCTCAAAGCACTTGACAGAATATACTGTAAAATGAATTGACTGTATATTTGTGGGCGAAACATGGTAGCCAATTGTGCACAGCAGTGTCCCACAAACAGTCGTGGATTGAAAATGACCAATTTATTATTGTTTTGTTTTGGAGGGATTATTATTAGGTGAGTGGAGTAAGGAAACTTGCCCAAGGTTTCGCCCTACCTGGAACTGAACTCATATCTCTCGCTTGCAAGGCGAGTGCTCTAACCACTGAGCTACAGGACTCCAAGACTCTAAGGCCTCACCTCAACCTCTTGTCAGTTTTAGTGACCAAGATTCTGTAAATGGGATAAATTAAACCTGAAGATAGAGGCTATATTAAAATCCAAGTTGGCAGCAAACCAGTTCTTCAAGGATTTAGGGAGAAACCATCAGGGTAGTTCTGTTTAGCCCCAAATTTGTTGTTAAGGACAGTTAAGACACAATATGGTCCACGTGGCAATAATAATAATAATAATAATAATAATAAACCTTGTATTTGATATAGCGCCTTATCACGTCTTCGAGACATCTCAAAGCGCTTCACAGAATATACTGTGAAGTGAATTGATTGTGTATATCCTGTATTTTTGTGGGCGAACTTCCACCTTATATACTTGATTGTATATAAGTGTAATATATAAATGTAAAGATCAAGATTAACAAATCAATAACAAAGACATCATTCTGGGCCTAGGCTAGACTGTGATCTGGCCACAGAAATGAAGTGGCATTTTTGTCAGTAATGTTTCTACAACAATGTATAATGTCGAGAACTGTCACTCAAAAGCATCAGGAACAATCAAGCAGATGGACGAAGCATTCATTTTATTCACCATTGACAAAAAGTATTTAGGTGAAATGACTGACCATTAACTCCAGTTATCCACTCCCTGCAGGAAGCTACAAATAACAAGGCTAATTATGCTCCAGCGAACCCAATTGTATAGTCAGGTGCTGATTATCCACACAAATGGGGACTGGCCCTATTGTACATATGGAAACAATGTGGATAATTGGTCACCTTGCAAACTAAAAATTGTCAGGTGGGGGCTGCAGGGAGGTGGGGGCTGCAGTGGGGATCTGCAGGGATGGAGCCTGCAGGGATGGGGGGGTGCAAGCAGGTGGGGGCTGCAGGGAGGTGGGGCATGAAGGGAGAGGGGGCTGCAGGGAGAGAGGGCTGCAGCCTACACTGACCTGTCGCTGAGCACATTAGAGAGAGAGTTGGCTTCACAGTGGGCATGCCAAACCAAAGCCCCTCACATGAGGACCTGGAGTAAACCTGCCATACAGCATCAAGATGGCTAGCATGTCATAACCTGTCTTGTAAAGGTCCTCCCACCACACTGACTGCAGTTAGACGATGAGAAAGCTCTGAGGATTGGGGTAACAGCTGCTGGAAGGCATTAGCTAGAGTCTGAGTTCATGAACCCATGTTCATATATGCAGGGCTTGGAATCCACCCAGAATAATTTGTAAAGAGGTAAGCAGCTGCTGTTCAATCTTCCCACCTCCGATGGGTGGAATCGTCAAGCAATGGGAAGGGATTTCTATGCAGGAAGATGGTAGCAATTCTCTCACACATTTCTTGTTGAGCTATGCTGCCCACCAGGAAGCTTGCAAGGAGTTCCAGGTATCTGCCATCCGCCTAGTGAGGGCTCAAAACCACACTTGTTGGAAGTCAAATGACCAACTAGTGACTTCTCCTTGGGGGAAGGAGGTAACCAGAAGCTGAACTGGCATCAAGGTGACATATTTGGGAATGAAATGTCATAATCGAGCCCACCCTCTGTGGTGGTCCCGGTAGTCCTATTCCTGCACTAGGTGGGTCCGCTGTATTCCAGGCACTGCTGATGACAGCACAGCCAACCTGGCTCATTGGCAGGACTTTGAGTCATGGGGGGGCAGGAATTCTTCCCACTCAGCTCCTATAAACACCCTAAAACGTAGGATGGTCCTAGCTGGACAAGCAGTGGAAAAGCTAGGACCACCCTACTCTCAACAGCAGGCAATGTGGTTTTAGCTGGTTAGTCTCCAGCAGTTACCCCAACACACACTCTGGGGTCCCCAAGCCTCGACTCCTGCCAGCCTACGCCTAATACTTTCAGGAATTAGTTAAGCAGGATGCGCATTCCATTCCAATACACAGGAACTTCAATGCGTAAGTGGGGTATGTGCAACTTTCAGTTTGGATTGTGATGGGTTTCCGCATGTGCCGGATACCCAGCTGACCAAAAGAACACTATATAGAGCTACACTGTGTCGGTCCTTCATTCTCTCTCTGGTGCTCTCTCTCTTTCTTTCCAGCAACGTAATGTGTAGTCTTATGCTTCTCCAAAGACCCATGTACAGGGTGACCAAAACGTTGTGATACCATCACAATGTCTAATAGCTCTTAAAGAAATAGTGATTTTTTTTAAACAATAGGGTAGATATCACGATTTTTTGGTCACCCCGTATATACGGGCTTGATGTCACAGATAAAATGACGCAATATCTAATTTATAAGAAAACTGCCCAAAACACGTGTGTCCGCCTGGCTCAGTTGATAGCACTGTAGCCTTTGAGTCAGAAGGCTATGGATTGAAACCACAGGTCAGGACTTTGTGCTCATAGTTCTGGTGATAAACTCCTTAGAAGTTGATCATATTCGAAATGAAAGCTTTAACTGCACTCAGCCAATAGTTAGTGACCTGAAGGCTGGGGATAATAATAATCCTTGTATTTGATATAGCACTTCATCACGTTGTTGAAATATTTCAAAGCACTTCACAGAATATATTGTAAAGTGTATTTGTGGTCAAAACGCGGCAGCCAATTGCGCACAGCAGTGTCCTACAAACTGCTGTGGATTGAGTGACCAATTATTATTATTTTTTTGGGAGGGATTATTACTCGTGGAAAACGATCCAATTAGCCAATCGACTAACAACTGGGTTCCTACTTACTACTAGGTAAACAGAGGCATGTGGAGTAAGGAAATTTGCCTAAGGTTTGCCCTGCCCAGGATTCAAACCCAGGTCCTCTCGCTTGTGAGGCGAGTGTTCTAACCAATACGCTACAGAACTCCAGAGTATAGAATGACTGTATAAATACAGTTAGTGTATAAATTATGAAGACAGTTTGGCTTTTAAAATAAACACACCTGCTAATTCCTGAATCTGTGAATCTTCAACTTCAAACAGCAGTTCATCATGGATCTGAGCTATCAGCCTGGAACAGAGAATTGAAGTGAGTGCATGGGATAGAATCACCTATTGCTGCAATGACATTGCATTAACATGCTCAGCACAGACCCACCTGAATATTGAAAGAACTTACATTATGTAGTATCCTTATTGTGTTCAAATATCTCAAAGTGATTTAAAAGTACTTACAGTTAAGCTCAGCGACTGTGTGTTTGTAGGCAAACGCAACATCCAATTTGCACACAGCAATGTCCCACAAACAGCCACAAAATGAATGACTAATTCTATTTGGGTGATTGTTGAACAGGACACCGGGAGAAATTCCCTTCTCTTTTAGAATAGCGTCATAAGATCTTTAACATCCATCAAAACAGCCAGACGGGAGCTCGATTTAACATCTCATCCAAAAGATAGCATTTCCGACAATACAATGCTCCCAATACAGCGTCAGCCTAGACTGTGAGTTCAAAGTGGGGCTTGAACCCACACAGTCTCACCAGGAGGCCAGAGTGCTGAGCTAAGAATCTTGTACTATCCAGCAAAAATGTTAAAGTACTGTAGCAGAGAATAAAGGAGTTTTGGTTGGACTTTGGGACCAGATACTAGGGGAAAAAAAAATTAATTCAAAATGTAAAACTAGAGTAATTTGAAATGATTGATTAAATCAGGCTGAAGCCACCCTCACGTTGGTCTTCCAGTTCATCCGCTATTTCTCAGTCAAAAGTAACTTAATTGCAGGGAGTGTCAGTACTGCACTTCATCCAATCACAGTTAAAGGAAAACAAGAACATAAGAATTTACTAGGCCAAACAAGACCATGGTCCATCTAGTTTGCCTTCCACCATCCTGGCAGTCACACATACATGTCGTGTCCCAAACTATAATATATATTATGTATTATATTGTAAGAATATTACCTGTGTCCCAACTAACTCAGCTTGGACCTCCCATGCAATCCTTCCCTACCTGGGACTTATTCCACTAAGCTTGTGAGGTACTGAACTTCAGCCACAAAGGACACACTGCAGGATCATGGGTGGGGGTAGCGGGGGGAGGTGGGTACATGAAAATACAAAATACCAACCATTCCTATTACTGCTACAAGCTATTTCTTAAATTAAACCAGTGTCCTGGCTCCAACCACCAATCCCAGTCACCTGTTCCAGCTCACGATTACCCTCTGTGCAAACTGTGCCTGTCCTAAACATGCCCTTCAAAACAATGGGCAGAGATACACCATTAGCTGCTCCAGTGCACACAGACACTTTCCCACAGCGAGAGTGAAAATCAGAGCAAGAGGAGTCTGCGTGTCACTGCCTCCTGGTATGTCTGCAAACTAGACTTAAAATAGATTCAATGTTATTTAAAATAAATATCATTTCAATTTATACTTTTGCTTCTTTCATTGTAGGTGCATGCTGTTTTTTTACATACAGTACAAAACGATTCTTTTTCTTCTCTTCATCGACAACTTACTTGCTCCAGGATTTAGATTGAATTCATCCCAGCAAAAAACAATACACCAGAAAAGCACACAGGCTGTGAATTCTGCAATGTACAGCTCCCTACCTGGCAGTGAGAGAGGAGGATGAGGTGATACACGTGAAGACTTTAATCATTGCCATTTTGCACAAGTCTGCTGCAGATCCTAAAGGTGTCATGAATAATGTAGTGCAAATCAGCGCCAGTATACATTAGAAAATAGAATACGTTTTGCACACAGAATATCAAGGCAGTGTATGTACCAATGTACTATGTACCAATGAAAATAAGGTTCAGTAACATTGTTTGTTACACGTTCTACTCCTTATTGAAAAAGGCCCTAATGAGGTCCTTAAAGAAAACATTTCTAATATCAATAAATCTCCATTTTTTAAAGCAGAATTATCTGATCATGAAACATACTTATCTCATTCTCTCCCTTCCAATTACATAATTCCTTGGATTCATGCACTTCTTGCTCATTTTTTCCATCTTACGGTGTCTGACACACGTGGAAAACCACCTTCATGCTTAAGAGTCTCCAAACCTCCTTAGTCTAGAATGGAATGTGCACTCTCTCTCCCCAGAGAGTTGCACCATATTTACCTATTCCTGAGGAATTTAGGCACAGGGGCTTGGGGAATCCAACAACAACAACTTGTGTTCATATAGGGCCTTCACAATCCCTCCATCTTTTCCTCTCTTAGCTCATCTTCAAATCACATCTGCAGTCTTTCCTCTTTGACGGTGCCTTCAGGCACCTCCCTGGTCTTTCAGGATTGGCATCAAGCCTTACTGTTAAGTACTCCGAGACCTTCCCCTGTGAAGGGGTCTATGCAAATGGTTGTTGTTATATATATTAACTTAACATAGAATACAAATCAAATTACATTTATGTAATGCTGTTCACGTTGAGAGGATGTCACAAGGTGCTTAACATTGCTAGTAGGACGTGAGCTGGGGATTGCAATCAAGGGTTGTGGGGAAACGGGAAAGATGACCAAAAGTACAATCCAAAAGGTAACGTTTTGAAATGGGGCTTGAACGGGGGTGGGGGGGGGGGGGGGGGCGAGCATCAGAAGGACTCTAGGATGGAGTTCCTGAGAGTGGGGGAAGATAGCTAAAATACATACATCAAACTGTACACCAGGAAGTGTGTTTGAGTGAGCATTTATCTCCAGCTATTTTTAACCCGCTCCCTTGACACGTGCGGAAACCCATCACCATGCTGAAGAGTATCCAAACCAAACTGAGAATTCCATACATTCCACCTACACGTGGAAATCCCAGAGATAGATTGTTTGAATGGAATGCACTCTCTCTCGCTGGAGGGACACATCCTGGTTACTTAATTCCGGAAAGAACTAGGTACCAAGTTGACAAAAACCAAGGCTTGGGGACCCCAATTTTAAAAACACCAGTTAAAGTTTGTTTCTTTTTTGTTGTCCTCGTTTCCATTTTTATTTCCATTTTGAGTAAATTATACTTTATTTTAACCATCTATTGATTCCGAAGGAAATCGATACAACAGAAACCTAAGGATGAACTATACATAGATACAACACTGTAATTGTTTTTTTACCTTGTACTACAAAGTTGACGGCCTGTCTTTCCGCCTGTGCTCGTAAACTACAATCTTGGGAATTGATGTGAGGCAATGGTCTCTTGCGTCCCATTATTGAAACGACATAACCTAATGAAATGTAGTGCCAGAGAAAGATGGAAATCTATTACAATCAGCATCTCTGGAGCGTATGATAAAATATATTATCCCTCAGAGTTGTTTGACAGTTTGCATTGAAACTCAATAGAACAAAAGTAAATGGTAGCATTTAATAAAATGCCTCAGGGAAAAAACAGGGTATAGAAAACCTCTAATCCTACAGCTCGTTCTCACCTATAATAATAATATTCCTTGCATTTGATATAACGCCTTATCATGTGGCCGAGACGTTTCAAAGCGCTTCACAGAATATACTGTAAAATGTAGTGACTGTGCGTTTCATAATGTGAACTATCTTCCCTTTAAAAAAAACTAGCAACTGAGCACTGGGGAGATTTGATGGAGAAAAGCATCAGAGAATGAACCATCTGCAGAACCAATTTGAGAGAATTTTGACCAATTTGAGAGGAAAAGAATTTTGCAGTTTTAAAGTGCCTTATCATATTAAAGCACCGCACAAGTAATTGCCATCATATATAGTGACTTTCATTTAAGACCTGTACAAAAAACAGCTTAAAAACTTGACACGAGTGATTATTTTCCCCAAAATTCTGTGTCATCGTAAACATCAAGGTCTTAAGGCTAATACAATGGAGAATTTCGGACCCCAGGAACAAAATGAACCTTTCATGCGGTTTCCCTCGAGAGGCCTGGCAAGCAGAAGCTTTGCAGATGACAGAAATCCAGTCACAAATAGTTCCACTTTTACTGAGCTCCTCAGTGCAAGGCCCTTGGCCTTTATCTATTTTTTGACAAGAATAATTTCCTTCAGCTGGACATTTAACAATGCTTCCTCCTTACAAACACAAGTGGTCCCACAGATCTGTACTCTTTGTTGCGCGATTGAGCAGCCGAACTTTGCTTTCAACCAGAATGTGTTGTGAATAATTATTGCACTGAAACAGTGACATACTTGTCCAGTTTTACAAACAAGTGCAACGCTTTCCCTGCCAGAATATTCTGGTTTACAGAACGCTGACATCTTTCCAGCTTGGTCTTATGTATAAAAATGGGGGACAATAGCTGTTTGTGGAGTTAAAGGAAAGTCCTTCGATTTCCTTTTTGCATGAGAATCATTCACATTGGCTCAAAGTGGAAGGGGCTGTTTTGGCAATTTGGATATAAAGTGATGTCACGGCTTAGAGGCTGGCGAATAAAATGGAGAGGAAATCAAATTAAATAGATGGGAGTTTTCCACAAACTAGCAAAGAAAAAAAGGATCTAAAATTGATCTGTGATGGTTACAAATTGCATTGTTAGGTGTCAGCCTGGCTCAGGGGTAGCACTCATCACCTCTTAACAACAACAAAATTACATTTGTATAGAGTCTTTCATGTCCAGAGGATGTATCAGGCGCTGGACAATCAGTGTTTCGGACCCGAGTTGGGGCTCGGAATCAGGGAGGGTGGAGAGCATGGAGGGAAGGAGGGTGACCGAAGGCACAGTCGAAGAGGAGGGTCTTGATACGGGTCTTGAAGGAGGCAAGGGAGGGGGCGAGGCGGAGGGACTGCGGGATGGAGTTTCAGAGGGTGGGGGCAGAGTGGCAGAAGACCCGCCCACCAAAGGTGGGATGGGCGAGGTGGGGGACGTGAAGCAGGCTGGAGCCCGCTGAGCGGAGGGAGCGGGCAGGTTGGTAGGGTGTTAGGAGGCCACAGAGGTAGTGGGGAGCAAGGCCATGGAGGGCTTTGAAGGTGAGGACCAGGATCTTGAACTGTATCCTCTGTGTGATGGGAAGCCAGTGATGGTTATTTTTAGAGGGGTGGGAACGGTGCCGGTGGACAGGGAGAGGTTTATGATGTATGTGAGTAGGGGTTGTGAGTTGAAGCCCTGAAATGAGCTCACATTGCGGATACCACTCCAGTCCAGGGCAAGAGCAGGGTTGGAGATGTTGTTTTTCAGATGAGATGGTGTCCTGCCCAAAAATCCTCCAGATAAATTGGTCATTCATGGCTGTTATGAAAATTGGCTGCTGTGTTTGCCCACATTCACTACATTTTATAGCAATTATCTGTGAAGCATTTTGTGACACCTCAGTGTCAAAGGCACTTAATTATTATCAAAAGGTATTTACATGTTAGAGATAGTGCAACATGACACATACATTTCTTAAAAAAACAATTCTGCCACAAAAACATAAATAAATGTAAAGAGAAATAAAGAAGGGTAATCAACATGACAACCCATTTTTAGACCAATTTCTCCAAGTCTTTCTGTACTCTCAGGTCCAATTGAGAAAAGGCCCTTGGCCTATTTGATTTCCAGCATCCAGAATAGCAACCCAACCTTCTTCCAATTACAGCACCAATATCTGTTTGATAAATAGAAACCAGTTTCCTGGTCTCTACCATCCTTTCTAGTAACATGTTCCAACGGTTGATTGCCCTCCATGTTAAACTAACTTGTCTCTTCCTTACAGTTAATGTGACACATGTGTATCCAACAGAAAAAGAGACATTCCCAAATCCAAGTGCAGCTAGTTTCTAGGTGCCCCTTACAATGGGTTTGAGTACACACTGTCCACAAAGTCCTCTGATCCCCTGTTAAAAAAAACAGCGATATAAGTTACGGAGGAGCTGAAGCAAGATGTCAGAAATGCATTTCACTCCATCATGCTACCGAAGATGTCACATGAAACATGGCAACGGATTATTATCTGTCATGAAAATGACGGCGCTCACTCTCACCAATCCTCTGCACGTCTAAATACAGTTAAAGACTTGTACTGAATACAATTAAATACTTCTAAACACAACTATCACCATTCTTCCACTTGTTTCAGGTGTACATCAGTGCACTGTAGAAAAAAAAACATGTGGATAACAGACTTTGTACAGGTTCATCCTGTAGAAGTCCACGAACAGTGCAGGAGTACTGTGAACCCACGCTATACCAGAGGTGCACCCAGTTTCTGGTGATGACTCGTCTTAAAAAATGGCTGACTTCCTTCCGGGTCACCAGGCCACAGCTGTTTCCTCTGCACAATTTTACCAAAAATTGCAGAGAAATTTGACAAAGTTTGCAGAAAATTGCGGGGGGTTGTTTGGTGCTAATGAAAGGCACATCTTACTGCTAACCTACAGTTTTTTCACTTCATTCATAAAAACTAAACATGAAGAAATAACACATCATAGATTATTGCAAAAAAAAATAATTCATACTTTCTTTAACAAAAACTGGATGGCCCACTTGTGGGGGATAAAACAGCAGCGCAGGCCCGAAGGACTGAATGTTCAGTTTCCACCCTGCACAACATTCAAAAGCACGGAGATCTGCCGAACACCAGCATTGCTCACCATGCTTGCTAGTGTCCTGACTGCGGGGTTCCAGGAGGTCACAACCTCCTGCCTGGTCCACCACCACACATAGATACCCAGAGAGATAGAGATATACACTGACTGACAGGGAGAAACACACACACACAGCCTCAGAAGGAGAGATACACAGACACTCACAAACGGAGATCAATTTGTTGATGACTGTCAATAAGACCGAGGCCTTCCTTGGCTCCCATCAGCGCCTCCATACCTCAAGCACTGACAGCATCACCTTTCATGAATGCACTCTACACCTCATGGAACCAATACAGAACCTCGGCATCCTGCCTCAACTATCCTTCATCCCCCACATCCATGCCATGATCCGCCTTCCCCCATCTCAACATTGCCTGGCTCTGCTACTGTGTCTCACGGGAAGCCACCAAGACCTTTATCCACGGTTCATCACATCTAGGCTCAACTACACAAACTCACTGGTTGTTGGCTTCCCCAACTCCTCCCTCCACAGGGGTCAGATTATCCAGAACTCTGCAGCCTGTGCCCTCTCCCACACCAGGCTCCATGACCCCATCACCCCCATCCTCACCCGGGTCCACTGGCTTCCCATTACACAGAGGATATAGTTCAAGATCCTGGTCCCCACCATTAAAGCCCTCCATGGCCTTGCTCCTCCCTAACTCTGTGATCTCCTAACCACCTACTGAACTGTCTGCTGCCTCTGCTCAGCGGGTGGACCTTCAGCCTCTCTGCCCCCACCCTCTGGAACTCCATCTCACAATCCCTCCACCTCAATCCCTCCCTTGACTCCTTCAAGGCCTGTCTCAAGAGCCTCCTCTTCGACCGTGCCTTTGGTCACCTTTCTAACCCTACCCTCCTCCCTTTTCACCCCACCTGATCCCAACCACCAGCTCGGGTGCTGATCCCTGTCTATCCAGTGCCTTGGGACGTCTTCCTGACGTGAAAGGCGCTAAACAAATGTAATTTGTTGTTGCTGTTGTTGCCCAGCTGGCTGTGTAAGCAATTTGAGACTTCCCCCTGACATAAAAGGCTTTACATCAATGTAAATGTTATAATAATAATAATAATAATCCTTGCATTTGATACAGCGCTTTTCACGTCGGGAGGACGTCCCAAAGCGCTTCTCAGAACACACTGTAAAGTGAATTGACCGTATATTTGTGGGCGAACGTGGTAGCCAATTGCGCACAGCAATGTCCCACAAACAGTCGTAGATTGAAAATGACCAATTTATTATTGGTTTTGGTTTTGGAGGGATTATTTATTATATTGGAGGGATTATATATTATATTAGTTATTACATTATATCTTTGACCTAAAGCTTATGACTTTATCACAATACTTCACTGATAAAATTGTTTGTGTCAAGGCTGTTTATGGGGCTTTGCTATGTGCAAAATTGGTTGCCATGATTGCTTATAAAGTACACACTGGACTTTACCATAAAATCCTGTGAAGCACTTTGTGACGGTTTTGACGTGATTAGGCGCTTTATCAAATGCAAGGATTATCATTATATTATTATATTAAATCATAGGAAAATAAAGCCATTTAATGTCATCATTTTTCTCTATTGTAGAGTACGAATAAACAAGAGAAAAGAGACCATGGGAACTTAATCATGTGCTGCAGAACAAAAAGACTTGTTGTTGGTAATACAGAGGAGCAAAGCTTTAC